GGATTGGGGTTGGGGGGAGATACTGGGGACATTGGTGGTAGAAAATGTACACTGGTGAGGGATGGGTGTTCAATCATTGTATGACTGAAACTCAAACATGAAAGCTTTGTGACTGTATCTCACAATGATTCAATTTTTAATTAATAAATAAAAATTAATAAATAAAATTAATAAATAAAAAATTAATAAATAAAATAAAAAATAAATTTAAAAAATTTTAAAAGAAGAGAGTTGACCTTTTAATTAGGTTAGAGACTGCCTGCTTTCTGTGTTATAAGGACGGGAAATACAGAGAGGCTGAACACTAGAAACATTTCAGCTTAGTGTGTTCTTTTATTATTCACACCCAACAATATTTTGGGATAAAACAAATTGAAAATGGGTGCTAAGATACAAAAAATATTCAAGAGAAGGATTGATATTCTTTTGACAACTCTCAATACTACAGTATTCTATTATTCTGGACTTAATAGGAAAAGGCCATTTAGTTGAGAAAATACTGTTAACACTTTTTTCTTACAGACTGTTGTTTTAGTCTCCAGTATCTCCAGTATCTTCAAAATCTAACTCAAACCTGGAAGAAACTTTATTTGGTTTTTGTGTGTTTTATTTTTAAGTTTTCTGGTGGAATTCTTCTTTTTTTTTTTTTTTTTTTTGGTGGGGGAGCTTTTTGGGTCCAACACCCGGCACTGCAAAGGGGTTACTCCTGACTCTGCACTGAGGAATTATCCTGGCAGTGTGTGGGGGGGGGGGTAGGGGGGAGGGGGAAGGGCGCGGAGGGGACACACATATAGGATGTCAGAGATCACACCCAGGTCAGCACTGTCAGGAATAATTCCTGAGTGCAGAGTCAGCAGATACAGTCCAAAAAAAAAAAGAAAGAAAAAGGAAGAAATATATGTACTTGTGCACTGCTGGGTGTGACCCACCTTCCCCCTCAAAATTGTATGTTTACTTTAGAAGAGCAGGTAGAGCACTTGCCTTACATGTGGCTGACCTGAATCAGGCCTTGCACTCCAAGCCCAGCCAGGCATGACCTCTGAGCACACAGGCAGTAGTAGGCCCTGAACATTTCTGGATTGGTCCCCAAATCAAAAAATTAAATAAAATTAAATAAACAATAATAATAAATAAAATCAGGTTAACATTTCTTCTGATTTGAGAATTACTGAGAATCATACTTGAGCCCTCACATTAAACCACTGGCCAAGCTGACTAAGAATAACTAGAAGGGTCCCTAAGTCCCTGAGCACTGTGTAAGAATCCCCCAAATATGGAAAGAAAAATGTAATTTTATTGACTAATGATTCTGTTGGGTGGGATCGATAGCATAGTGGGTAGGGTGTTTGCCTTCCACATGGCCGACCTGATTTGGACTCCTCCATCCATCTCGGAGAGCCCATATTCCACCTGCACAGCAAAGCCTGGCAAGCTACCCATCAGGTATTCGATATGCCAAAAACAGTAACAACAAGTCTCACAATGGAGATGTTACTGGTGCCCACTCAAGAAGGACAGTGCTACAGTGTTACAATGATACTGTTATTTATTACAGCACTATCCCAGAAAAAAATTGAAATGTTAATAGGAAAACTTCTAGATTAATTGCTATTGTTCATGCAGTTGTTTACTTGATTATTACTTCTGACCTGCACAAAGAACACTTGCAAATACAGAAGGGGGAGAAAAAGGCCCCCCAATATTTTTTGCTATAATTTTTTCTTTAGTGGGAAATGGCTAAATTAATAAAGCAGCAAAGAAGAGAGGGAAACTTCAGTAAAATTCCTGATGTGTTTCTTTTGAGAAGCAGATAAAAATTGAGATTTTAAACAATGGCTAATAGATTTTTTAAAAATTCACTGGTTATATTCTCAGAATTCAGATAATATACTGATCAGGTTGTTGTCTAGGATGAAGATGCCATCTGAATCTCAGAACATATATTCACCCATTTAGTGAAGTAAACAAGCAATAACAAAAAAATCAGCCTATGGTATGATGAATCTCAGAAATCAAAAGTAGGAGAAAACTTGGAATGTTATTTATTTATTCTTTTTATTTGGTTTGGGATTTTGACATGCTAGGAATTGAATTCAGGTTCTCACACTTCTAATGTGTATATTTTACAACTCAGCTACATCTCCAGCTATGGAATGGTTTTGAGGAAAAACAAATAAAAAAATACCCTTCAATCAATGAAATAACTGATTTGAGCCAAAGACCTCCAGGACCAGCCACCACCATGCTGAGACCACTCTCCGCACACATGAAGGTACTGGCAGAGGGACAAAGCCACGCGGGTTCCGGGGCCGAGACCTCCAAGCCTACTCAAATTGGAGTCGAGCATCTTCTACCCAGATCCTCCAAATTCCAGTAGGCGGGGGTCACACCCACCACCTGGCCCCCTGGCGCCGTGTAATCCCATCAGCGGCCAAGACTCAGAGACTACAAAATGCAGCTCCCGGAACCGCGCGGCCGCATTTGCGGCCGCGCGACATCTAATCAGAACATCTTTTTACGATATCTCATTATCCCATTCCTACTCTGGACAAACTTGCAGGCTATCGAATATAGCCTGCCCACAGGGCAGAGTCTGGCAAACTCCCCGTGGCACACCAAATATGCCAAATACCAGTAACAATGGTGGGTCTCATTCTCCTAAAAAGCCTTGAATATAATCTCAGGGCTAGGATGAAAGAGACGTTACTGGGGCCTGCTCGAGGCAATCGACGATTAACAGGATGATGAATGATGAAAAAATGAGCATGGATTATCAATAGATGCTAAAAACCAATGGGTAGTTGGGAATGTGGCTCTGTAGTAAAGTGTATACATTGCATCTTTAAGGTCTCATATGGGTTCAATTCCTCAGTTACATAAATAAAAATAAAAACAATGGTTGAAATATTGCTGGGAAAGCAGACTATTGATAGTATCTCACTTATTATCTCACTTATTAATGATTAAGAATATCATTCAGAGGTCAGGGAGATAGTCCAGGGCTTTAAGTGCTTCCCTTGCATGCAACCAACTCTGGTACCATACATGGTACCATACATGGTCCCCAGAGCACTGCCAGGAGTGTTCCCTGAGATCCCTGAGAGCAGAGAGTCAAGAATAAGCTCTGACTGAGCATAGTTGGGTGTGGACAAAACAAAAGCAAAACAAAACAAATATCACTTATATATTTAAATTACAAAAGGGGAAAGGCAACTTTATATTGGAAAAATCTGGTAACCGAGAGATCAAAACTAAATATCACAAATAATATGTGTGTGACAAAGTAACATTATGTGAACCCTGATGCATTGCAAAGGAAACATCATCTAACAATTTTTACCAAAAATCTTTGATTTAATTCTAAACTAAAATAAGTGATAAAACAAAACAGAACTATGAGGCACTCTCATAACAACAATCAAAAAAAAGGATAACCAAAAAAAGTGGGGAAATTCTGCTAGATTGGAGAAAACTATAGAAACAGGAAAATCAAGTATAATGCACCATGATCCTTTTTAGCTCCTAATCCAGAAAGAAAAACTTCATATTGAAAATTACTGGGAAAGGGGCTGGAGCAATAGCACAATGGGTAGGGCATTTGCCTTGCATGCAGCCGACCTAGGTTCGATTCCCAGCATCCCATATGGTTCCCCAAGCACCGCCAGGAGTAATTCCTGAGTGCATGAACCAGGAGTAACTCCTGTGCATTGCCGGGTTTGGCCCAAAAAGAAAAAAAGAAAAAAGGAAAAAAAAAGAAAATTACCGGGAAAAAAAAATTTTAAAGAAAGGAAGCAAAAAATAAAAAATACCAGAATAACTGGAGAAATTCAAATATGTCTATATGTTAAATCAAACTGTAACGTTAAAGTTCTTTCAGTGTGATCACAGGATTATGTAGAGAAAGTCCTTTTCCTCAGGAGTTACATGTTAAAGTACTTCTTGGTGAAATAACACAGTGTCTATAACATGAAAGAAACCCTGTATATATAAATACACATTCGAATGAGATAAAAGTAAATTAAAAATGTTAACATAACTGATGAATCTGGGCAGCATGAATATTGTTTTATTCTTTCTCTAAATTTTAATTAGAGAGTAGTATGCACTTATGTACATATTTGCTTTCATAGAACTAGTATTTAAGGAAGGAAACAAAAATACAACAGTTTGAGTGGCAAAGGAGCTGTAACTTTATTCATCAAAACCATGAAAGTCAACACTACTGTAATAATAGTACCTAAACTACCATAAAAAAATTTTTTAAATCAATAAGAAAATAGGAATGGAACTGGGTAGAGAATAATAGTTATGGAAGAGAGATTTTTTTTAATTCTATGCTGTATTGTACCTTAATGTTTGCGATAGCACAGCGGGTAGGGCGTTCGCCTTACAAGCGGCCAACATGGCCGACCCGAGTTCGATTCCTCCGCCCCTCTCGGAGAGCCCGGCAAGCTACCGAGAGTATTCAATATGCCAGACACAGTAACAACAAAGTCTCCAATGGAGACGTTACTGGGCCCGCTCGTTTATATATTAAAGGACAAAATATATTTTTCAAGTTCTAGCAAAATTACTGAATCTGTTCTGTTGATACAATATTGGTTTTATTCTGAAGTTATCAAGAAAATATTTATGCAGAAAGGATTGTCCAAATATTTAATTTCTATAATTTTCTTTTTGAAATCTTGATGAAGGAAATATGCCAAAATCATTGAGGTGGGCAAAGGGGCAACAGGTTTGTTTGTTTATTTTTAACCACCTACTCTAAAAGGGCATGCACTTTCATAAATGACAATCACTCAGAGATTTTTTTATTGATGGAAAATGTATAAATGCAAATATAGGAAAATAAAAATAACTAATAATCTACACAAAACATGTTTAAAATTTGGCCCATCATTCTGCTATATTTTCACTACAATCTTATGTTAAAGTACCTAAATACTTGTTGCCAGTATCATCCATGATGAAAGAGAAAATGCTCTGTTTCCAATACCTACCTGAGGGCTTGACGCTCGGGATAATCAATATCATAACTCTGCATGGAGTCATTGCAAGAGTCCCGAGAACTGCCCTGAAGCAGCATCTGCTGTGGCAATCGTAGAGGCACAGGGAACTGGTGCACAGAAGCATTGGGCTGGGACGTCGTATGGTAAGGAGGAGGGATGCTATTGCTGGTCTCACTGCGATAGTCACTATCTCGATCATCAACGGCACTATCAGCATCTTCAAAGGCTGTGGAATAAGCACAGTCAATCAAAGCATCCCAGCTTTATTCAGTTCTCAAAAACACCTTTTCTGCTTCAAACTCAGGTAACCACAGCCTGGAGAACAAGGCCAAGCTGAGCAGCATGTGAACCCAATAATCTCAAAGTCATGTATAGACTATCACAAAACCCAAAGTGTCTCTTCTAATCAAATGATAAAGATCTCAGTGCCAACTTTTAGAGGAGCTCTAAGTCACGTTTTCCTAATGTAAAATCTGTTTATAATTCTTCTCTAGCTATCATAACCCTAAATAAAATATGCTTTGTAAATGACATGAGCAGATTTTGGTCCTCTATAATTATCAAAAAGGGCTAGAGAAAGAAAAAAATTGTTTCTCCACATTTTAGAAAAGATAAAATTGTTGTTTGAAGTTGGCTTGATGTTTTCAGATTTTAAAATATACAACTGAACCAAATTAGCAGGTTCAATATCAGAACATAGACCAGGAAATTAGGAAAGCTAAAGAAATCAAGCCCCAAACTCTAGAGACAGCTGAGAAATGATAATCTATGTTTTTTTCTAACTGCGTATAAAGTTTTTCTATCAAACCTATACTCCGGGGTCATCATTCCAACCCAAATTATGGATTAAAGAGGAACAGCAAAACATATATACTGCCAGTCAGATCCTGTGGACAATGAAACAAAGTTTATTTAATAGCACTGTAGCACTGTCCTCCCATTGTTCATCAATTTGCTTGAGAGGGCACCAGTAACGTCTCCATTGTGAGACTTGTTACTGTTTTTGGCATATCAAATAAACCACAGGGAGCTTGCCAGGCTCTGCCATGCAGACAGGATACTCTCGGTAGCTTGCCGAACTCTCCGAGAGGGATGAAAGAATCAAACTTGGGTCCAACCACGTGCAAGGCAAACACCTTCCTGCTGTGCTATCACTCCAGTCCTTAATAGCAGTGACTACCATTTTAAAGATTATTTCAGATATTCAGAGCAGCACCGATTAAGTAAAATTTTGTTCATTTGGGTCAAGGGCACACCTAGTGGTACTCAGGAGCCACTCCCAGCTCTGTGCTCAGGAAATTTAAACCATTGCCATAGCTTTAACTTCATGCAAAGCAAGTGCCTTAACCTCTGTACTATCTCACTAGCTTCTTCAGTTTTATTCTCAACTTTTGCTAAAATGATCACAAATCCTGCTTCAAATAAAAACAAAAATGTGCAACACAATTTTGAAACAGGAGCTCAACCTAACAGTGCTTTGTAAATTATTTTATAGAAAAGTGATTTTTGACACTATCCCCATATGTGTATGATTAACAAGGTCCCGTTATGTTCTTTCTTGCCAAGTTCCTATTTGGCTTACAATGAGGAAAAGGAACATTCACTATCCAAGAATAAAAATACTTTTAGCAGATGATGGAGTCCTCACATTAGTATTTTTTTAAAAAAAAAACTAATTTTGATAGTAATGTGGGCAGCAGAAACCTTCTGAATCCATAAGATTAGATTTTTATAATTGCTCATGTTGAAGTACTTACATCCCAGCAATAGAAATTGGAATGTTAATATTAACTAGAAAAAAAATCAAGACAAAAGTAATAAAACTTAGGGAAGGTAATCAAAAAAAAAACCACACGGCTTCTTAAACAACCTAGTTCTACTAAGAGAACACAAACATGGATTTCACAAACAGGAAAACATAAGCATTACATTTCAAACTATTATGGGTATAAATGGGAGTAGTAGGGGTAAGAAGATCTAATGAGCTTTCACCCATTTGCATGGGGCCAGAGCAATAGTACAGCCAGTAGGGAATTTGCCTTGCACATGGCCAATCCCAGGTCCAATCTCTGGCATTCCATATGGTTCCCAAGCACTGCCAGGAGTAATTCCTGAGCGCAGAGCCAGGAGTAAACCCCTGAGCATCACTGGGTGTGATTTTACTCCACCCCCTTCAAATAAGAAAGAGAGAGAGAGAATGCTCAGGATATCAGTGGAAATCAACATAATATAAACTAACTTTCAAAAGCCCAAGGAACAATAAGTAACACTTTGCCAATGAAAGCAGAGGAAACACAGTAAAGATTGACAACCAAAAAAACAATAGGACATGCAAAAAATAGGACATGATCACAGATCTGGAAAAAGAAACACTGGAGCTACTAGTTTTAGATCCAGAAGCCTTTGTTATTCAAACCTGAGGGAAACCATCAAAGACTAAACCCCGGTATGCCTTTTAGATCTCCTTTCTGAATCCACAAAGGAAATGTGAAGAAGTCAGTGTTGGATTATTCATGCATACAGATGATGGGGCAAAGTCCAAAAGGAAACAAAGTGAAGTCTACTTAGACTCCAGCAGAAACATGAGGAGAGGACCCAGACAACCAAGACTGAGTCTAGAAAGAGGGAGCGGTTAAAGACAACCTGTTGACCAGAAAGAGAAGGGGGACCTGCGATCCAGTCACTTGGTACCCCTTAGTTTCTCATTGCATCTGGTTTAGTAATCCTAAATAACGCTCCTTTAAATTTTAGACACTGAGAGGAATAATCAGAAATGTTTCTTTATTCTTTTTTAATTTATTTTTATTAGTGAATCACTGTGGGGTACAGTTACAGGCTTACAAACTTTTGTGCTTGTGTTTCAGTCATACAATGATCGAGTACCCAGCCCTCTATCAGTGCCCATTCTCCACCACCAATGACACTCCCACCACCCCCATCCTATCCTCCCCACCCCACCCTGCCTCAAAGACAGGGCATTCCCTTTTGTTCTCTCTTTCATTTATACCCAGAAACTTTTCTAATCCCTAATATTTCTATAGTTAAAAAGAGGTAAAGGTAAAGGTAAAGGTCCTCCCGTTGATCGTCAATTTGCTCGAGCGGGCCCAGTAACGTCTCCATTGGAGACTTTGTTGTTACTGTGTCTGGCATATCGAATACGTCACAGGGAGCTTGCCAGGCTCTGCCGTGCGAGCGAGATATTCTCAGTAGCTTGCCCGGCTCTCCGAGAGGGGCGGAGGAATCCAACTCGGGTCGGCCATGTTGGCCGCTTGTAAGGCGAACGCCCTACCCGCTGTGCTATTCAGAAATGATTTAAAGTAGTTGGGAACAGAAAAAATATAACATGAAAAATAGGTGGGTACAGAAGGAAATAAAAGGCTGTGAGGTGAAACAAAAGAAATAGTGGGGGGGGGGGGAGTAGGAAGAAGACAAATGCCAGCTTTTCTACCCCTCACACCATCAATATTCTTAAAAAGCAAACTTCCTGATACTACCAAAGATAATTAGAAACTGAAAAAGGAGATGAAGAACTTGAATGAAAGAATTGTACTTTTAGTCTCTCAAGGGTTCTAATATTCTATGCTACAGCACCATTTCAGTCATAATATGAAACCTCTGGCTTCAAATAAAAGCTAAGTATAAGTTTAATTTTTCAGCGTAAGGCACACTACTTCCAAAAGTTGAAAACCCTGGGTAAAGTCTATATGAAAAACAGATAAAGAAAAATTACAGGGGGCTGGAGCGATAGTACAGCAGGTAGCGTGTTTGCCTTGCACGTGATGGACCCGGGTTTGATTCCCAGCATCCCCCGAGTACCACCAGGAGTAATTCCTGAGTGCAAAGCCAGGAGTAACCCCTGTGCATCACTGGGTGTGAACAAAAAAAAGAAAGAAAAAGGAAAAATTACACATTAAAATAATGGAGCATCAATATATCGGTCTAATAGGAGAAAGAAAATATGGATACATAGGGAAGTCCTAATGAAAACACTATAAATCTCACTCCTGGGAATATATCCCAGAGAGGCAAAAAAGTATAGTCGAAGTGGCATCTGCACTTGTTTATTCATTGCAGCACTGTTTACAATAGCTAGAATCTGGGAAAAACCTGAGAGCCCAAGAACAGATGACTGGTTAAAGAAACTTTGGTACATCTACACAATGAAGTACTATGTAGCTGTTAGAAAAGATGAAGTCATGAAATTCATATACAAGTGGTACTACATGGAAAGTATAATGCTAAGCGAAATGAGTCAGAAAGAGAGGGACAGACATAGAAAGATTGCATTCATCTGGGAAACATAAAGTAACAAAATAGGAGACTAACACCCAAGAGATAAGTACCAGGAGGATTACTCCATGACTTTGAGGCCAGCCGCACATGCTAGGGGAAAAGGCAGCTCAGATAGAGAAGGGAGCACCAAATAAAGGGTGTTAGGAGGTTCCTCTCAGGATGGGAGATGTGTGATGAGAGTAGACTATAGATCGAACATGATTGCCACTCAACTCCTCTTTTGCAAACCACAGCACTCAAAAGGAGAGAGATAACAAAAGGGAATGCCCTGTCACAGAGGTAGGATGGGATGGGGGTGGGGGGTGGGAGGGATACTGGGATCAGTGGTGGTGGAGAATGGGCACTGGGTGGAGGGATGGGTGTCAATCATTGTATAACTGACACCCAAGCACAAAAATTTGTAAGTCTACAACTGTACCTCATGGTGCTTCACTAATAAAAATTTAAGGAAAAAAAATCAAATAAATAAATAAAGTACATCATTTACCAGGTTAAGTAAATAAATAAAGCATATCCCTAAATTACTGTATATGTCTGGTATGGTTTGGTGATCTGATGATGGGACTTGGCTTATACGTGTCTCCATATGTGGTGGTATCTGTATATATAAAAGTTTTGGAAGGCATGGGTGAGGGATTAATGTATGGATATGTACCTTTAAGAATGTACAAGGTGAATGTAGTATATGTATTTGTGTGTATGCATATGATGGGTTGTGTATTTTATGTGCAAGAGTGCAGGGTAAGGAGTACATACATCATGGTGAGTGTATTGATAAATTTGTAAATGTGTGTGAGTATAGAGGTGAGGGGTATTCATGGACACATTTTTCTGTGACATTACACTTAGGAATAGATATAATAATCTGGGACTGGTGGTACAAGTGTTGATAAGCATAGGCTTACATATGTATGTGATTTAAAATACATGGGT